AACAGGCGATGTTAATAACGTATCAGTTGTTAATACCGCCTAGTTAATATTATAGTATTAATAATTATTAATAATATATTATTAACTGTGCAGCTATACACGACAACTCAAAAAGTAATTGTGATAATCAAAATCTGAAAGTGCCAAAAGTTTTATCCAAAAAACTTAGTTTAAGTTCAAAGATGCGCTATTTTCACTTTGACCTGGGTTACTTGCCCTAAGAAAAACCTAAAAAAATTGACACTTTTATATGGTTGGAATTTTTGTCGAAATTTTCTTGAAAAAAAATTGTAGGGCATAAGCCAGACTTCTGCAGATGCGATCAACATGAAACTTTCAGAATCTTATTCATTCTCCAAAAAATGTAACCTTAGAAAGTTTGAAGCCAATCGGAGTTGATTTTCGGGTACCTCCCATACAAAAGTGTCAAAGTTTTGACTTACGTGACCGATTTTTCAAGAATATTAAAAAAGAAAAACAAAAGTACGGACAATGTAAATGGTACGAAAAAGTTTGGGATTATGAATGTAATTCTTTTTGTTTATCCATGGTTTCGCTGCAGTCATGGAAAGTTGAAAGCACAAATTAATTCGGGTTTATCTTAGCTCCCTTTTGAAAGAAAAAGATCTATCAAAATATGATTTGACTTTTGTAAAACGAGCAGAATTCCGCAAATCAAATTTAGTGTATTTCGACTTTTTTCGGCTTCATACACATTTTGTAAAACATTCTTACGATATATAAATAAGTCGAGTGGTTTCATTTTCAATCTATGTATTTGAATTCAAATCCAAGCAACACTCTCACAAATGATACATGAAGGATAAACATCTCAACGTTGAAGCAGCCAGTGTGATTTCTATTTTAAATATACGCGAACGCACGCCCACAAATTTATTTTGTTATTTGACAGAGCTTCGTTCAGCTCCTCTACAACAAAACTCCGCGCTCCTTCGTCTGATTGGAAAATCACGTCAATGCGATGCGCGTTCGATTACAGTTCTCCAAACTGAGAGATCACAATGTAATAACAACAATTTAGTTGATAGTTTCATAGTTGTAATTGGGAAAGATTTGGAGAAGTACGTAAGTTTCATGTCAAAGCGAAAAATGAAATGTATTTGCTATTTCACTTCTGCTATTTTTCGTTGTTGGTGTTACGTTTCAGTGTGTCTGTTCCTGCAATGCCACTTTCTCTTTCTTATCCATATAGCACATATCAACAATTAAAATGACAAAACAAACCAAAGAATTGATGACGTTGTGGAAAATAATGCAAGCGCAAAAAACCTCTGGGAACGGCAAAACAAATCAATTTCAATTTCGTTTCTCTTTTCTTTCGTTAAAGATACCTATAAAGAATATATACCTATAAAGAATTGAATTCGATCCTTCTGTTAGAAAAGCTGGAAATATCATATTATTATCATTCTACACATTTGATAGGTGCAACGAACTTATTTAGATTATTTAATATTATTTAATATTATTGCCGATGACACTAGACTATGGAAACACATTGAAAATTTTGAAGACTGCCAAGAACTGCAAAACGATCTCAACAAAATTGTAAAATATTTCCGGGACAATCGACTAAAATTGAACATCAAGAAATCAAATTGCATATCATATCACCGTGGACAGTTGCAGTATGAATTTGAATATACGATAGACAATGAGAAGATTAACCGTGTCAAAGTAATTAAGGACCTCGGCATTATACTGGATGAGAAAATGAACTTCAATGCACATATTGAGTTCATTACTGCCAAAGCAAAATCAAGATTGGCTTGGATAAAGCATTTTGGAAGAGAGTTTGAGGATCCATGGACCATTAAGAAACTCTTCTTCACCTTTGTACTGCCAATTATAGAATATGGCTCCCAGATTTGGAACCCATACACTGCCGACAAGATTGCTAGACTTGAATCCATACAAAAGCAATTTTTACTATTTGCACTGCGCAGAATGAGATGGTCAAACGGATTCAAATTACCATCATATGAATTTCGATTGCTGCATTTACAAATGATTACCCTTGATGAACGAAGAAAGATTGCTCAAATATCGATGGTGCATAATGTACTATGTGGACATACATCGTCGAAATACATAACCAGCCAAATAAGAATCAGAACACCACGGCATCGGACAAGAGATATAGATTTCTTATCACTACCAATAAGACACCATAATTATTCCAAATTTGAGCCCATAAATAACATGCTTATTACATATAACGATTTTTATAAGAAATTTGTTCCTATTAAACCGCCATATGCAACTGATGGATGTGACACTAATGTTATTCCAATTTGTGATACTTATCTAATTGATTTCAATGTTAGTACTGATACTGTTAAACAGAGGGTAACTGAATTTTTTAAAAGAAGTAGAGTGTGGAGAAAATAAAAGAAATATTGTAAATATATTGATATGATATTTATAACAAATAAACCACCTTTGGCGGAGAAACGCTGTATGGTGCAGAATAATAAATAAATAAATTTAGAGATAAGTTTGTGTATTTATTTAATTTAAGACAATTAAATCAAGGTCATTACAACGTATTCCACTATAGGACTTGTCAACTTTACCGAAAGCCTTTTAATGATCTTCATATGAAACCTACTGTAAAAAATATCGGGAGAATACTACTAAGGAACTTTTACACGCGGCATAAATACATTTGTAAAAGAGATCAAATCAATTATAATGTGTCAGCAATTCTTACTATGAGAATATATGAATACAAGGAAAGTTCAGAAAGCATATGAGTGGTTAGTTGTTGGGCTCAACGTAATGTGATTGCGCTGTGCGTTGGCGATGCATGTCAAATACTATTCAGCTTATTTATAACCGTTAGTGATTTTGATCGCCTTTTTTCGTATTTGAGAAAGATTGCGTTTGAGTTCGTGTTTATGAGTTTATTTTCCTCTGCTCATCAGTCTATCGTCGTCATCAACGTCGATCGCAATTTCGATTCAAACGAATGCGAATGTTAAATACGTAGGACTTGCCGTTTACCAAGTCGCAATTCTGAGTGTGAATAGTAACATTCACATCTTATTTCGGTCAGTAGATTTTTTCGGCTGGTTCGGTTAACATCATAGATCTTATAAAATCTTGAAAATTGCTGATAATTTTCAGTTTCATCATTTTCATAGTTTTTTCGAATTTTTTTTCGATTTTAAATAAAATATTTTCAAAAAATTTCTGGTAAGATAAACAAATCGTATAAAATAATTATTAAAAATTGAAAAATTAATTTAGACTTAGTGTCATTTTATTGGACATTATTTTTTCTTGAACTCATCGAAGTTTATCAGAAGTGTGTGAATTAAATTGAAATAAATTTTTTTCAATTGAAAAAGAAATGCGACTATAATAAAAATTATATGAATATTTGTGAAATTTTTTCGTCTTTCTCGTTTGCTTGAGAAGTTTATTTTTATTAATTAGCGTTGTGTCGATATTTCAACAACTAATTATTACCTTGAACAATGAGTTGTGTTTGAAAATTTAAGAGAGTAAAAAGAAAGTAGAAATAAATGGCAATGTGAAATCGGACTGCAAGCAACTGATATACAGAAAATTGTTGAAAAAATTAAAGAAATGGTGTTTTTGTGTCAAAGCGTTGAGAAAAAGAGAAAGAAAAGTCCTATATGTCGTGTATCAAAGTCGTAGAAAATATACTCCCACAAAATGTTCTTATGTAATAGTACGCTTGGCAAAATAAGAAAATATAAAAAAGTGCGCCCACTAAATTTGGATCCCATCCAAATTCATAGCAAATAAAGACACGATTGGAATCGATGAAACCACTGACGATGACTTCACTAAAAGTCGTATTATTAAGAAGAAAAAAAAATTCTCCCAAAATAAAATCGAATCATGTGTTAGATGCGTCCTTATTATTTTCATTCGTCGGTGCGTGCTTCCGCAAATGGTTTCTTTTCACAATTTGCTATTTCAAATCCCAGAAAAAATTATTCAATTCAACATATAATCGGTGCTAGATTAGTCTCAAGCTAATGATGTCATTGTCGCCTGGCGAAAATGTATAATTTTCACATTTTTTCTCAAAAGTAAAACGAACAAAAAATAAATTTCAAAAGCAAGGGCCATACATTGCTATAGTGGAAATACTGTGAAATTTAAAAAAAATTAACGATTACAGCGTATTGAGTTTGGAGAGGACAAATTCGATAAAAATAAACACGTTTATCGGTGAATATTTTTCAAGACAAAATTAGTTCGGATATGAAATAAAAGGAGAAAATGAATCTTCCTTACAATAAAGTTCTTCGGAAAAATTGCTAAAAGCGAATAGTTTGAAAAAACTACATGGATAAGTAGGAGGAAGACCTTGATGAAAAGACGTTTTGTTGTAAATAGTGTTGGCCTTGGTAATGGATTCAATTTGAAAACCTAAACTGTATTCCAAGATTTCGAATTACTGAAACATGTATATCAAAGATTAAAGAAGAAATTATTATCTGAATCTATTTTTAACGTTCCTTTCTCGACTATTACTTCAAATCAGTTTGATTTTTAACGAAAGTGTACACAGTTTTATGTCGAAACATTTTGTCGGGAAAATAATTTTCTGATCTTCAAATGCTTGTTCTTCTGAGCATGCTCAGAACAGTGCGCAAGTTTGAATTTGAGAGCAAACCCAAAAATAGACAGCCTCATAGAATGGAACACTCACATTGTTATCGAATATATTACGACCTTTCAATGTATTGTTTCGTCATTCAGACCTAATAAAATGCTGCTTAAAATATCTCGATGCTCGCTGAAGCTGAGGCTTTTTTATGCGGTTTAAGCTCAGGAATGTTTCTCAATACATTCCTCATATGTATACCGATGTTCATTTGTAATCATTACGTTATTGCACTGGTTACACAACGTCAGAACTTACGTAAAAACAATTGTTGCTAACTATTAAACGGAAAATATATTTTCTAGTAGCAATTGTCTGTTATTCAATTGAGCTAGCGAAAACTAAACGAAAAATTCACACCTGTCCCAATCGTTGAAAATTTTGCATCATTTTTGAAGGATGATTTCAGTGATTTAAAATAAATGTTGGATTACAATGAGAAGAAGACTCGCGTTTGCATCAATTTTATTATTTTGAGAATGATTCAGAATTTTTTTTCATGAATCTTCCTTCAACTATTGCTTTCATTTGATAGTATTTTTTTATTGATAGCGAACGAAATTATATAAATCGCAGTCATGTTCAAGCAACATTTGGAAATGATCGGTCGTAATGAAACACCGAGCAAGAAGGCCAAATTCTGGCAATCTTATGTCAGATCACTCAAGGGTATGTGGAAATTATTTCCTTTATATCAGCGATGCATTCTTATATCAATTATTCTTTAACAGGTTCGGACGATATACGTGCACATGATTCACCAAGAGTATCCAGCTGGAGACCATTGAGCGCTGACTTGCCACCATTGCGCAGCATCTATGATGAACCGAGCACAGCATCCGAACGAATCATTGGTACTGGTTACCGTTACTTGCCGGTCCATCGCGAAACATACGGTTATTCACCAAGACCAATCTATTCTCACCACTATGGAAGACCCAGTAAGTAGAGGAAGATTTATATATTTCATTTATTTGCTTTGAATAAAACCAAATCCGTGTTATGTATTGAAATTTAATCCACTAATCCATTGTCTTGTGTATGCGCTTATCCTTACTTCGATCTAAATTTTTATGTGTACTGCTTCGATCGTTTTTTTCTTGGTGAATTACGTAACATTTTTCTACTCATCACAAAATAATTCAACCCTTCATCACACGCTGGTTCCCAAAGTAACCAGATGGGGCAAATGCTATAGCTACGAAACTACTGAATAGTTGTGCATGCTTGTTTGGAAACAAATGTAGGGAATTGAACTAGCTTTCATTTGATACCTCAATCGTTAGAATTGGACAGGAGTACCGAAAGGACAAGTCCCAAACTTTTGAAAGCTGATCGTCTTATGTCCAAATCAACAATTCCAGACGCAATCTTAGAATTTTTCAACATAAGAATGACATAAATACGTAGAAGCTTCTGAGTTACCTAACGAACGCACAAACGAAGACACAACAACGGAGAAAACACAAGCAAGAGAAAATGCGCGCTACACTCATTCGCCTTCTACTCGGTTCGTTCATCGAGCGAACGGTTTCTGTGTATATGTGACAATAAGGTTCAACTGGACGAGCGCACGTTCAATATTGCCACATATACACAGACACTGTTTGCGTTGTGTATGTATGCTCGATGAACGAACTGAGTAGAAGCGAATGAGTGTAGGGTGCACAAGCACATTCTCTCGCTTGTGTTTTCTCCGTTGTTGTGTCTTCGTTTTTGCGTTCGTTGGGTAACTCAGAAGCTTCTGCGTATTTATGTCATTCTTATGTTGAAGAACTTCAAGAGTGCGCCTGGAATTGTTGATTTTGACATAAGACGATCAGCTTTCAAAAGTTTGGGACTTGTCCTTTCTTTCGTACATGTACTGCTAAAGGGAAAAATACAAAATTTTAACAGAATTTCAAATTTTGGGTTTTTACATTCTTTTCAAAATACATATGAAATTATGATAATGAATGTGAATATGAAGTTTTTCTCTATTTATTGTGGCACATAACATATATTAAAAAGCATTCATAAATTTAAAAAATTTCGCAATAAAGGTACCGTACAATCGAATCGCTACTACGGCAACCTGTCCCATTCCCTATTAAGAAGATAAGGCGACATAACCGCGAAAGATTCTGAAATTCAACTTATTTCCTATCACCAAAAGCTGAACGTGAGTTCAATTGCAAAAGCTGAGCGTGTTCAATAAAAATAACTTGAAATGTATATGGCTTCGGTAAAAAATATTGCCAAAGACTGTTTCTTCTAATTTCACGCATAAGATACGAAGAAGATAATTTTTGTCGAGCCTATTTTTAACTAGTTAGTTTGATCCTTTGTTTTATGTGACCGTGTTTATTTCAAAAATATCATAATTATATATATAAGATCTTAGCGTGAGTTGTTCAAAGTGAATCATTCGGCAAAATATCCGTTCAAATTTTATTTCCTGTTAGTTTGCACATACACACGCATTGAATGTTGAAATGTGAAAACGAAACAGAAAAACTAATGGCACCAAATACGAAACCAACCAAATATTAAACATATCTCATTTTTTCTTACAGCATAAATGTGCACACAACTTTCGCCCATAAAGTATATATCATTTGGAATAGATTTCAGAATCCGCCTCAAAAATTGAAATAATTAAAAGAAACGTGACTATAAGTTCTTCCTCGGCTTTTTGGTTTTTGCCAGTTCAGATAAATGTTAAAAGCACGCGTACCTAGCCAGCAACGCTACTGAGAACTTTTAAAAATCGCACTTTCCCTTCAGCTTATTTTACTCTTACCACACAACAATTCGCTTCGAGGCAAAGCAACCAAAACCATATGCATCATCAGCAATATATAAGCTAATACTAACTACTTGCAATGAAATAAATGATGAAGATTTTAATAAATTTGTGGAATTTCATCAATTTAATTTTTAAACATGTAATTTTTGATTAATGCTTTTTAAATGTTTTTACAAATGCAATTTATTTATTTTAAATGAGAATTTGCAATAAAAGAAATCGTTGAAAATTGAAAATGAAACAGCAACAATGTACAATGTGTTTGTTGATTAATTCCAAATTCTTGGATTCTCTGCTATTTTGTCCTTCCATCTGCACGAAATGGATGGTAAGCACTTTAACTTAACTATGATTTGAAGTGCAACTGCTTTTAGCATGCCAGAAGAAAATGGAATTATTTTTCAACATAGGTTTTTTTACATATTTATTTTTCGGGAAAAAAATTCTTCAAAGAAATGGTTGTTTCAGGTGGTGATTACGCACACGTCTACGATGCTGAGCGAGCATGGCATGAACATTTGCAAAGAATGAAGGAAATCGAACGCCGGTGAGTTTTCCTTCGACCACCCAAAATTTTGAGCTTAGAATTGAGATAATCACTTGACTCTTCTTTGTTCATTCGAAATAGGTATCCTTCTCGTTATGGTCTCTACCTTAAGGTAGGTAATTTTACTTTAATTAGGTAGTTTTTTCAAATGTCTATTTTTTGAATATTTAATTTAGGGAGTTGAATATATTTCTTTTATTTAGAATTTATAAGTTTAAATTAATAATTTTCAATATTAAATTTAAAGGACAAGCCGAGCACTGTTGTTTTGCCTCAAGAGTTCGAACCCGAGCTTAAGCCAATCAAGTTTTCCGGTAAGGATTAAAACGGCACATGTCAAACTCACTTCCTCCATATACTATTTGCTAACTAGAATCGCCCATAAAAATCAACATCAAACACATACAATTCGAAAAGAATAATTTAAATATTACTTTATTGGTGAATTTCAATTCATACAATGAGTCAAATTGTAAAACTAAAACATGAAAAAACGAAAACAACATAAAAAAGCACAATGTTTACACGACGCAGGACATTCAATTAGATAAAACTAAGAGTGAAAACGACAAAAAATATGAAAAATAGAATAAACTTATGTACGAAAAAATTCAAATCAAAAAATGTTAACCAGTTTTTGCGATGCTGACCTTTCATTTTGCGCTTTCTAATAACGTATTCCGACAATTTCCTTCATGCATTGAGACTCAAAACCATTGTAACTATCGCATCAATCTATCCCAAAGGAATGATAAAAAGTGTTTTTTGTGTGTGTGCAAACACAGGTTAATGTGTAATATCAATGTATGAATTGAAGGAAAATCGTTCAAACGTTTGTTCAAATTAATCTGACATTGGCTTCGAATTTAACAATTAACAGTTTATTGTCCATTGTAGATTGTTTAAATGAGCGCAAAATGCAAGCCCATCCGTGCAATAACTTGATATAATGCGAACTAAACTTCTATTCACGTATATGTAATTCTCTCTTCCTTTGTTCGACTATGTATTGTAAAATCATTTTATTTGTTCTAATTTGGTGAAAGCTGAGAAGAATGCCTTCTAAGCCGCAGAAATGTTCTGAATTCCGCAGACAAACTGGATAAAACATGTGTGTGACTTTCTTGAATATCTTTCACCAGCATTTAATCCTATTGAAGCTTTTCCAACATTTATTTTACAAACGAAACGACCAAAAAACTATCGTAAAATGGAAGTAAACACCTACAAAATCATACTATGAATATCACATTTTATCTATTTTAAAATTATTTTAGATAATAAATAATATAAATTATTTTATTACTCTGAATTACTTAGTAATTGATGGAATCATAACAAAAAATACAAATAAATAGATTGCGAAAGCCACCGCCAAACAAACTTTTTGATTAGCCCTTCATTTTTGAGAAATTTCAAAATTTCATTCTTTGTCAAATATTTCGATTCATCATTTCAATCCTATCAACAAGCTATTCGGAAAATATCCACATCAGTTCTTATTGTATCGCTTTTGCTTGCAAATGGCTTCTAGGGTCGTTTGGTGCACAAACCTCCCGCGTTTTTTTCCGCTGTTTGCCTTCTAGTCTCCTAGCTTTCCTGTTTCTAGAAGTGGAATCCCAAATGATGCGACAAACTATTCTCTCTTTTTTCCTTTGCAAACGCGCATATTATTTTTGTTTAGGTCGAGCTCCATCAGCGAGTAGAGCTGTGAGTGTGCCACCAATTGCACCAGCACCATTGCGATCATTGAGTATCCCACCACGCGACCTTCGTGCTACTTCTGTCCCCCCTTTTCCGCACGATCCATTGTCTCCACTCGATTTGCTAAGTGAGTATGATGCACATCGCCAAAGATGTTTATCCCCAACACCAGTTAAATGCGGCCGATGGGCTCCACGCAGCTCTGAAGTAGCCTTTGACTCTGATGGTAATTTAATTTTTGGGATATCGCCATTCATTTTTGTTTGAATTTTTTTTTCGTATCGAACCTTTTTCAAGAGAAAAAGTTCATCGTAGGCAAAACTGAATTCACGAGAGCCATAACAAAAAAGTTTTTGCATTTTTTTCACCCATGAGACTTTTTTCTGTTATCGGTGCCGAATAGAAGAGTTGAAGAGAAAAAAATTCAGTAAAAGTGCCCCACAAAAATATTGTCTGAATAAACGACACGTGAATTTGTTTTCATGCAAAAAAATGCATGTACCACTTTTACTAAAAAAAAATTTACGAGGCGATTCAAATTGAACATATTTCTTTTATTATTATTATTATTATTCTGCACCATACAGCGTTTCTTCACCAGAGGTGGATTATTTGGTATAAATATTTGGTTATATATTTACAATATTTATAATGTATTCGTATTTTCAGTCTCTCCAAGTTCTATTTCTTCTAAAATAATCAGTTAATAGTTTCGTGGGGACTCTTTCATACAATATTTTTCGGTGACGTCACTCGTATTTATTTCGATAGTGCAAATTAAATGCGGATTTCGATGTGGCGATAAAACCAATGGATTGAGCACATAAAATACTGTATTAGAATCGAAATTTTTTTTAACTTTTTTTTGATTTTTGCCTGTTTCGGATTTGATGTTGCACGAGTATAGAGGTGTCAACGGACACGGACAAAAATTCGGACATTGGTGTCCGTCCGTCCGAAAACCAAAATATTTTTTCGGACGTCCGGTCCGAATGTCCGAAAACCGAAAATAGTTTTCGGACGTCCGGTCCGAATGCATAATGCGATAGCTCGAATGAAAATGCGGCAGAAAAAATCAGCAAAAGCCTTTAATGTTTCAAACGCTTCGGATGGATGGCGCTGTCAGAAGCTCTCTGAAGCACATTAGAGGTGGTGAATGTGATTATGACAGATCATATTTGTGTTTACGTTTAGAAAC